AATTACATATGTAACCCACAAAAGCACTTTACTAAAGAGCAAAGTTATTAAAGAACAAAAAAGGTACAAAGCTGTCACTGGAACAGTACCTTAAGGTACAAAAGCTAAAAGGTGCATCTTGTAACTTATTTACTTCTAAATGGTAGGTATTAGTACTTTAAAAGTACATATTAACGTGCAGGCCTACATTAGTACCTTTTGAAAGGGTACTGCCCCAGTAACAGCCTTGTACCTTTTTTTCTGAGATTATATTGAAAGAATATTGAGAGTTATGTGCTAAAGAATCTGAACTGAATAACCATGAGCAAGAAGATCCAGGGAATCTCAAGTTGAGAAAGTGCTATTGCTATTACACACCATCTTGGTTTAATAAATGAAAGAAAGAAAGAAAGAAAGAAAGAAAGAAAGTGTATATTTATCAATAGTTAATTTTACTAACTGTGTTTGTCTTGCTTTATTCTCATCTAATAAATGAACTGGCACCCAAACCTCCTTTTTTTTTTTTGCACATCTAGTTAGGTGTTGGTGCCTTACTGCTTAACATTAGATTAATAATGCAAATATTAGTTGTGGCTTAGACCTTTTAACCTTTCACCTTTGAAATATTGATATTTGATATTTTAACTCCAGGTAACTTCAACAAGACTACACCTGCACTGGAACATTTTAAATATTGTATCTTTGTTCATTGGCACATGAGGCACTGTTTTTTAAGCTAAATTGTAAATGCTCTGTAGATTTGCATGAACATTATGATAAGGCTGACATGACAGTGCATGCTGATTGGCTGATGGTACCACAGGAGCCTTCACTAGTGACTATTCTGAGCTGTAACTGAAACCATTAAACTGGCACTGCAACAACAAAGAGAGAGAGAGAGATAGAGCGAGAGAAAGAAAGAATGGATGATTGAATTAATTAATAATTTACTACTTAATGAAACACAAGTTGTAGTAACCGTTTCTTAAAAAAAAAACACATTTGAATTAAGCTATTATGATGTCATTATTATATCATTATGATTATGATATGATACTGCAGTTCCTACACTTAGCCGCTAGAGTGCACTCTTGCATAAAATAATTTTGACACTGGCAACCATTTACCCCAATACTTTTGAGCACATTAAGATACAGTTCCACACTTGAGCAGTTGTATGGAGATCTAAGCCTATACAGTTGTCGCTGCCCTTCTGCAAACAGCAACATTTGAGAGGAAAGGACAGCACAGGAAACAGTAAAATGTGTTTGAGGTAGAGGAAGTGCAGTGAGGAACACAAGGGATAATATAGGAAGGACACAGTCACCTTTAAATCTACAGTAGGAGCTTCTTGGGCCTGAAAGCAAAACTTGTAACAATGTAAAACCTAAGATTGATATTCTAAGCAATGTGAGAAATGTTTAAGATTTTTTTAATTTTAATGGCAGAAAAAAAATGTATGGACAAAAATTTTATTGGTTTATAAATAACTAAAGGTCATGCAAGAGGACAATACACTCATAGTGTCGCTCACAGCCTTTCTTTCACAGTCTTTGCGAACAGAATCAACACCTACATCTCAGATGTTGTTTTATTAATAGACTGATATTACATTAGGTTTCCCTAGAGAGCTATTTGTGAACTGGCCAACCCTGTAATGACGGCTAGTTACTAGCTAGGAGATAGGACATGCTTCAAAAGCAAGGATTTCTGTCCTTTGCTATGGAAACAGTCTACAATTGGCTTGTTGTCTTGGTAACAAGGGCAGCAGTGAATTAAGTTCAGAGGCTTACAGCCAGAAAGTTTGTTCTAGTGTTGTAGCAGTTTGAGCAATAAAGATATGAACAAAGATCTCTTATAGCATTTGTGTGAGTTTAGTGAATAATGCATGTTGTTATTGTTAGTAGAGTTTTCATGTAAACAAGGTTGTTGGGTTTTGTTCATCCCTCTTGTGAGAAAAAAAGTGAGCTTAACTGTATTAAGTGTGTACTTATAGTGTACTTCAAATCTCAGTATTTGTAATTGTACTTGCACTGTATTGAAGATAATTTAATATTCGTCCACTTATGTGTACTTACAGAGAGTACACTTTCTCTGAATAATATCAAATTAAGTTTTACTTTAAAGCACATTTAAATAATGTTTTAATCTTTTGCCATGCATTAAGTGAAGTGTTGACTAACATACTAAAGCACATGTAAAATACTTGATTATAATTTTAACAATAATGTTAGATGTTAGATTTAAAGTTAATATTTTAAATGCAGTATTCTGTACTCACAAGTATATTTCAACACATGACAAATTTCAAAAGTAATTCTCTTGAAGTATTTTTAGTTTATATTAAATGCTTGTCAGTACATTCAGCAGTACTTTAACAATATTTCAAAGACAATAGCATTATGGAATTACATTAAAGATGTACACAAGTCCCACTTAATGGGTCCAAAAAAGCACTTTAAAATTCAGCTTTGCCTATAAATTATATACATTTAAACTAAACATTTTCTTTTAACTGTAAATAACATGCAATTAAGGGGAAGTCTTGGGGAAGTCGTGGCCTAATGGTTAGAGAGTCGGACTCGTAACCCAAAGGTTGCGGGCTCGAGTCTTGTACCGGCAGGGATTGTAGGTGGGGGGAGTGAATGTACAGCACTCTCTCCCACCTTCAATACCACGACTGAGGTGCCCTTGAGCAAAGCACCGAACCCCCAACTGCTCCCCGGGCGCCGCAGCATAAATGGCTGCCCACTGCTCCAGGTGTGTGTTCATGGTGTGTGTGTGTTCACTGCTGTGTGTGTGCACTTTGGATGGGTTAAATGCAGAGCACTAATTCCAAGTATGGGTCACCATACTTGGCCACATGTCACGTCACTGTCACTTTCAATTAAGTGTCCAAAAACATCACATTTAAGTATATTCTTTTAAATTATATTACTTCTGTAATAAGTACTCTTTTTAAAAGTATGTTATAGTGTACTTGTATGTATAATGTATCCCAGCATTCTAAATCCAACTGCATCTATAGAGTAAATGCACCTTTAAAATGCTGGAGCTTGTTTGTGTTTCTGTAAGCTCAACTAAATTGAGTCTCTCCTCAATTAGAAGGTTATATGAAACAATATGTGTGGAAGTAAAAAGAAATATAAACTTACACTTCACTGAAAAAAAAAATCTTACATTTAGCTTATGGCAGGTGTTAATTTCCCATCCATACAACCAAAGTCAAATCACATCAGGAAGGCCTCTGATCAATACTAGCTCAGAGCAGTCAGAGTCAGGCTATCAAGTGTGTTCTGTAGGTTACATTGGGGCTGTAACACAGAAGTCTGTCGTTTTCACACGGAAGGTCCAGTTATGATTGAACATTACAAGGTCAATAAAATTAAAATTATACACAAGATCTATGAATTCATTTCATACTGACTATAATGCCATCAGACTGCAGTGGGGACAGAAAGGTCAAGAATTTAGGGAATTGTCAGAAACAGATTCAGTACAGAATAGAGTTTAAAACTAATTTAAATAAGGGTAATTTCATTTGTGATGTTAGTAGGTCGTTTTAACGTAAGTGGTATGGCAGGCGAGGATCTGTTTTAAAAAGCTATAGGCTATGTGTATTTTCATAAGAAAAGGAAGCACGTTTTCAAGCAGTTTTTACATCAGAAATTTCTAACATCTAATGTTTACGAAACGTTGTACAGTTATGATATATATCAGGGATCCTCAAATCTGGCCCACGAGATCCACTTTCCTGCAGAGTTTAGCTCTAACCCTAATCAAACACACCTGAGCATGCTAATCAGTGTCTTCAGGATCATACGAAAATCACAGGTAGGTGAGTTTGATCAGGGTTGGAGCTAAACTCAGCAGCGCATTGGCCCTCCAGGGCAAGATTTGAGGAACCCTGATATATATATTATGTACGTCTGGCAAGACCTGACATTTGTCATTCCTCTCAGTCACGTGAGTGTAAACCACCGCAATTATAAGCTCTTGTGAGTCACCTGCCGGCTTCAGGTCTTGACGGGGAAACACCAGATAACTTGAAAATCAAGTCCTCTGAACACCTCTCGTGCTCATTTTGCCACGAACAAGAAACAGCAAGGAGTATCTAATGCTAAATCGGCTTGCCATATACGTGCTGCAGTGTAATCAAACTCCTGTCACGCAGGCAAACGCTCATGTGACGCTATGTCAGAGTCGCATTATAGGCTACATGTTCACAGAGCTGGAGGCGCTTTAGCTTGAATAATGCTTTGAGGCTTGTTACAAGGTGCAACATAAATTTAATGTGTTAATTAACAGTATATACTATATGCTGATATAAAAACTGCTCATTAATGTTGTTAACCACACCTTTCAATGAACTTCGATAGTTTCTAAATTAATCATTATATAGAATTATATATATATATATATATATATATATATATACATATACATATATATATATATATATATAATTTTTA